GATGCCACTGACTTCCTTAAACAGGACTTTTTCAAAGAGAAAAAGAATGAGAGCATAAATACACATCTAGAATTTACCTTCTGTACTAAAAGGTTGATTTGCATTAGTTTTATACAATAAATGTTTTAATACACAAATTAAGAAACAGAATACAGTTCTTTTAGGATTCTAGAAAGCTAATTTTGGAACTATCTTAGTTTCAAGAATTATAGTCTAAGGGCCGGCCCCACGGCGTAGCGGTTAAGTGCGTGCGCTCTGCGGCTGGCAGCCCGGCTTCGGATCCGGGGCGCACACCGACGCACCGCTGGTCAGGCCATGCTGTGGCGGCATCCCACATAAAGTGGAGGAAGATAGGCACAGATGTTTAGCCCAGGGCCAATCTTCCTCAGCTAAAAGAGGAGGATTGGCATGGATGTTAGCTCAGGGCTGATCTTCCTCACCAAAAAAAAAAAAAAACAGCAAAGAATTAGAGTCTGACTTGCTATTATAACAGAGATCCTGAGACAGCATAATTACTTTTTAAAATAAAGTTTAAAAAAGCCAATATTCATGAAAATACAACAGCTTTGTGCTTTTCTCTGTGAATAAAATTACCCTAATTCTCTAACAACATCCCTTTTGCATTAATGAAACCAAGGATTCCACTTACCAAATATGAAGCACAAGTTCTTAGAAAAGACAAACCATGGTCCAGGCAACAAATGGCCCTCTAAACCAAAGACTTGGGGGGATAGAAGGTAAGCAAACCTCAACTCTTAAATTTTAAAGAAGAATTCTAATAAAGAATCCACTTAGCCCTGCCTTGGATTTTATAATTTCATTGAGATTCATCAGAAATCATTTTAAGGGGACTTAACAGCTTAAGTTGATTTGTTTCCTAAAAAAAAGTAAAACATTTCTCAATTCTATTTTTGATTTGAATAGAATAACGCACAATGTAGGTATAGTATATTAGTCTGTTTAAATGTTCCTTATTATTTGTAATGATATTTCCAAATAACTTTCTCTTTACTGTGAGGTGAGTATTAATATTCCCATTTTATAGATGAGGAAATTAAGGTACAGACAGGTGAAGTGACTTAGGGAATCAGAATGGGTAGAGGGAACAAAGACGGGATTTAGAGACAAAAGGACCAGGGTTTAAATATAGAAGAGCCACCTACTAGTTTGAGCAAGTTCCTTCATCTGGGCCTATCTTTCATCTGTAAAATGAAGATAATACCACCTACCTCTCAAATGGCTGATATAAGGTATCAGCAAAGCACCTAGCAGAAATCCTAGTACACAGTTAGCCATTCAACAAACATCAGCTCTCCCATCAATCCACAATCCCATTTTCTTCAGCTGGTACAATGGTTATATAATCAATCCATAACACTGCTGTGAGGTAAATGAGATATAACACAGGTAGAGTGCCTGGTGAGAACAGGGGTCCATACATTTGTTCTCTCCCCCAATATTCCCTCCCTTACCCTAGATGCCACAGTTACTAAGTGGCTGAGCCCAATCAAATCCAAATCTTGCTTTCACTATAGAACTGCCTCTGTTCACACACATTTTATTTACGGTAGTCCCTTATTTAACTGCAAAAACTAATTTAACCTAGCTGCTTAATCTGTTGTTATTTTAATGTGTTCCCAGTAAAATCAAATTCATTTCTAGAGTAGCTTTACTTTTCAGTAATCACAAAAAAGTGATTAATATTTCTGACTTGAAAATATGTATTTTGCAATACATATTTCTACTGGCATTTTTGCAATATATATATTCTCAATATTTTATAAACTGTTATAACCCAAAAGATAGTTAAAAATCTATTCCTTAGGATATTACATGCCTAAGCATTTAAATGACTCCATTTGGTACATTGAGTTCAAAGATATTAGGTAGCCTTTTCAGTTTTCCTATTTTCTCCCAAATAAAATAACAAAGTAAGGTAGTAAATGTAGTAAATAAATATAGGTATGCATAAATGAAAGGGATGTGTGAAAAATACGGACCAGATCTGCATATATGAGGCAATGACCTTCAAAACTGGCAGGGAGCTGTTAACAATATTCTTCACAGGGGAGCAATTCTACTACAACCCTCCTATGTATACTTTCATTTCTCATGGTCTACAAATACATTTGCATATCAGAAAGAATAAAAGAATAGTCTAGTAATTGTGGTAACCTTCACTGAGAGAATATAAGGCATTTTCATTACCTTAATAATCACATCCTAAATGCCAGATCAGTATAACTGCTGCACCATGAAAGGCTAGACCAACACTTTGACAAAATATCGGATAACTGAAATTTACCAAATGTGGCTACTATGACTCTAATCCAGTGATACATTTCTGATTCTGTAATACCCAAGTGGTCTCTGATTATCACAAGAAGCACTGAAATCTTTCTAAAATAGATACTTTATTTAAAGAAAAATATGGCATACAATACTTTAAGGAAAAGGAGTTCAAATTATCACCAAAAAAATTTTTAAATCTATGGTACTGCAATTCCTAAAATGTTGGGAATATTGCTTTAACCTAATAAGTAGCTCACAGTTCCTTTCCATTCTGATTTAAAAGACCCTGTGCCCAGTGTTTGACAAATAAGTGCACGCACATACGCACATGCACACACACACGCACACAAATATATAAGGGGAAAAGTTGCTATGAAAAGCTCAATCTCTAAATGCTCAAAAAAGCTATATGCACAAAATATTAATTTCACATAAATAATGTCTTTCCTTACATTTCCTCACATGGATAAAAACAAAAGCAATTCACAATAGTGGTGCCAAAGAATGACAAGATTACATATACTTTAGAATTCCTGTTTTTTTTAGATTTCATACAAGAATCACAGTGCCCAATCATTAACACGGCTAGACAGTGGACACTTACTATGTCATGTATGGTCAGTATGGACAGTATGGTCATGTTACGCCAAACAATTTTTTTAAGCAGTCTAAATTTTTATAACATTAATTTGTAATAATGTAAAATAAGACCAGCAAGAAAACAAACACAACCACAGTAGGATATGGCAAGCATAAATCCAATAAGTCCTGCTTAACTTAAAAATATTATTTTCTCAATGGTAATGAAAACTACCCACAACTATAAATACCCATCAACCAACCTCAAAGGCTCCACTAACTTGGAAAAATAATTAGTTGCCTTATTGTGATATCTTAAAACCATAAGATTATCATTAGTGCAGTGGTGATGTGAATTGTGTTTCACTTGTACTCTCTACAAGTAAAAGTTAATGACCTGCCCCAGAAATTTTATTTCACCATATACCTTCAAAGTATTTTTAGGACTCATGAAGTCTAAATCTCACACTGCCCTTGATGTGCTATTGTGTAAATGCTTTAAATTTTAAAACAAAAGGATAAAGACTTTAAAAGCTCTAGACAATGTATTCAAATGGTAAAGATATCAACTCAAGCAATATTTTCTCCTCCCCTACCAAAAAACAAAAAACTGTACAGGACAAAGATACAATAGAAACAAAAAGTAGCATGCCACTCATTCAGTAAGGAAATAACATCTCTTTATCATATTCTCTCTCTATTATATTCAACTACATGTCTCTATCATATTCAACTACAAAAATCCTTTCACTTTATGGCTAGCATCTTTATGACTGCTTAATCTGTACTTAAGTGGCCTTAAAAAGAGATTTTGTTTTCTTTCTCTACCCTCATGGATCTTTGGCAGCAGTCAACACTTATGCCCAGAGCTGGTTTTGGGGGGTGGGAGAAAAGGGAAAGTAAAGAGAAGGCTGAACTGAGGACGGAGTCAACAGAGAGCAGCCGCTCTCATACACTACCAGCGTCTTGCTCATACACCGCTATTTTCCGCTATTGAGCATTGTCAGCAAAAAAATAAATGGGGGGGGGGGGCAGGGAGACAAAGAGGGTAGGACCCGGGGCCGACAGTTTCTGTCTGCCACATCTGAGGCGAGAAGCCCTCTCTAGTTTCTTGCTGCAAAAGCAAGGGATCAGGTGAGACCCCTCCGGGTCCAACTCAATTTGCTTCTCCAGAAAGGGCAGTTTCCGGCAGTGAGCGCAGGATCCTCCTGGCTGCTGAACTAAACACCGGAGCATTGTCAATGTTTTCTATCTCTGACTTTTTACAAAGGAGGAGAGAGGTCTGTGACTGCATTCCTGGAAAAGACTACTACTCCTGACGCGCCACACAGCAGTAGTGAAGGAATATAAGCAAGTGGCTGTAAAATTCTCTTCAAAAACACCAGGTTCTGAAGAAATGCCGTGCAGCAATATCGTATTGTTGGCGTTTTTTGTAAGTCACCGACTCTTTTTCGCCACCGCCAACCCTCAAATCGCTGGGACTTGTTGCTAAATCTTTACCTCACGCCCCCCTGAAGTGCCCAACACAATAAGATTTGAGGAGCGAAAGGCGGGAGGGGGGCCTAAATCTTTAAAGCCCAGTGGGCTGGGCTCCCTTCAATAGGCCACTCTGCATGGGCTGCGCGTTCAGTTCTACCTTCTGAGAGCTCTGACTCACAAATGCTGGGGGGGAAATTATGACATACACCATTATCCTTCCAACCAAAGAGAGATAAGAAAAGCCAGCCAGCCGTCCTCGCCCGGCCAGAGAGCCAAAGCCTGCGCCCCTCGACGGGGCGGCCAGGGTAGAAGCCTCCCGCCCTGCCCGCCTCCCTCCAGACGCCCGCGGAAAGTGCTCCCCACCCGGGCGGGCTCAAGGAGCAAGGATGGAGCGCCCTCACCCCGGGAGAGGGCAGGGGACGAGTTGGGCATCCGGGATGTGGGGACTCTCCCCGCAGAGGCGCCAAGCGCCCAGTGCCCGGCCCCGGACAGGGGCTCGAAGGGAGCCTCCCTGCACTGGGGCCGTCCGCTGCAGCCAGGAACGGACAAAGCGCTGGGGTCTGGGGCGACCCCTTGGTGGCGGCCGCGGGCCAAGTTGGCCAGACTCGGGGGACGAGGTGGTCCCGCGGGCAGGGCGGCGCGGCACTGACCTGGATGGTGCAGGTGTACTCGCTGTCGTCCAGCAGCCGCACGGTGCAGCTGTACTCGCGCTCCAGGCTCCTGCTGCTGCCGCTCATCAACCTGCTCAGCATCTTCCCGCCCGCCCGCCCGCCCCGGGGAGAAACGCGGCGGCGCTGCGGACCCCGGACCAGTCGCCCCTCAGCCCGGCAGCTCTGCGCCGGCACCGCGCACCTGCACCATCACCCCAGCCCGGTCGCCGCCGCTGCCTCCTGCTGGCCCCGCTCCTCCTCCTTCTCCGCCACCGCCTCCCCTCAGCCCAGAGCAAACGCCCCGCTCTCTCTCCTCCGCGCCCCAGGGCCCGTGCCCAGCTCGTGGGGCGGGGCCTCAGCCGGGGCGGGGGGGGGGCAATGGGGGGGGTCAGCGCGGCGGAACCGAGTGGCAGACAGTAGAGCCAATAGAAACAGTGTACTGGGATGATGGACAGGTTGGGGAAGCAATCACAGGAACGCAGTCGGATCGAGCCAAGCGGGACCAGCCCTCTGGCGTCCCAAACGAGGGGCTTTTCTCCGCCCTGCGGTTCCTATAGATGCTGTTTCCCCTCCCCCGGGCCAGGTGTAGGCACTCGGCTGGATCGATGTCTGCTGCTTGGAATACATTCGGACTACGCTTCAGGGGACCGAGTCCCACACTCTGCAACGCCGCGGTTCCCGCCCTCTCGGGAGCCGGGGCGGCGCGAGATCACAATCCCTGCACCTGCAGAATGCAGGCACCTTCCGCTCCGGACCAGGCGGCTGCCCCCACCTGCCCTGTACCCAACGTCAGCCGGCCGGCCTCTCTGCTGTAGCCCTCTTGTTTTGGAGAACATCTGTTTTTCAGGAGCTACTTAAGTGAAAGCTGCAGGGTTCGCAGAAATTCTTAAGTACCCGGGTTTAACCCCTAGAAAAACCCTCCACTCTAACCTCCTTTGCCTCCTTCCTTTTATTTTCGGAAGACAAAAGGAAGACACTGAGGCGTGCTCCTTCAGCCTGAATGGAGCAGAGGAAGCGTTGGATCCTTTCCTTGCGCCTTTAGAACTAGAATTATCATGTCTTCAGACTTCCTCAACAAAACACCAGAGTGTATCAGAAGGTATCCGTCACAAAGAAAAAAATTGTCTCCTCCCCTCTGTGACTCCACATCTAAAGACCTCATATTCTTTACAAAAACTTCACTAAGACACATAATATTCGCCCTCAAAAATTTTTGATGGAAGGAAATGTTATAAAAGAATCATATCAATGCAGAACGTTAATGCTGTATAAATATATCGATTGAAAAATATTGAACTATGCATAATTTCCTATTATTTTCATTTACACTGTTCTTGTTTATAGGTATAACATAACAAAAATGAAACCCTACATTAACCTAGAAACACATCTGACCTTTAAAATAGGCTTCTTCCCTAGTATCTTTGAATTCCAGTATTTCTCCCAATTTTTTTGCGTGGGACCCTCCATCCACCTTTCAGTTATCTCAGTAACCTGGACTGCTCTCCTCATTACTTGCATTCTCCCTTGTGGCATTCAATAGCCATAAGAAGAGGTTCTTTTCAATGCAATTCTGGAGGAGTTAGTTGAGAAACTAGACCCAGTGAGTCAAGGATTCTAGTCATAAAACCAGGTGTGGGCTTCTCCACTTTGTAGACCCAGCAGGTAGGTAGCCTGGTGCCTGCAACATAGTAGATATTCAATAAATGTTTGTTAAATGAAGTACATGGAATTGATAGATATTTTACAAAATCTAAATCTCAGGGAAAGATCTGTGAAGAAACTAAGACAATTTCAGGAAGATCTTGGCAATGAGTAAAATGATTAATATGCCAAAGTGATATTCTACAAAACTCAGCTTTGTTGTGTAGTTGAGAGAAGATAATGAAAGATTTCAGACAGCCAAAACTTTTGATGAAGGAAATGTTGCTGTTTGTTATAGAATCTACAAGAGCACGAAAAAATATCGAAGAAGCTAGAGGAAGGCCAGTAGTGTGAAGTGTCTTCAACAAGTTATGCAAATAAGCAGCTTTAGAATAAACAGGCAGGGGCGGGCCCAGTGGCATAGTGGTTAAGTTCCACCCGGAGTTTGCAGGGCCGGATCCCCGGCTTGGACCTAGACACTGCGCATCAAGCCATGCTGTGGGGGGGTCCCACAAAAAAAATGGAGGAGGATTGGCACAGATGTTAGCTCGGGGACAATCTTTGTCAAGCAAAAAGAGGAAGATTGGCAACAGATGTTACCTCAGGGCCAATTTTCCTCATCAAAAAAAAAGAATAAGCAGACAAAGCACCATGAATCCAGAAAAGCTCTAAGGAACTGAATACAGTCTTTTTTCAAAGTATGACCATAGATGCAATCAACAGGGATGAGACTGTGGCTGCTGTGCCAATGTGTTGAGTAACATTCTTGCTTAGCCTAAGAAAATCATGTCAGCTTAGATGCTCACCTCATGGAAAGAGCAGTTAGATATTCATCCATGCTTATGCATAATATCCAGAAAGAGCTTCAAACTCTCCCTTACTCTCTGATACAGAACATTTCATGAGGAAAACAGAGGTTGGACAAATAATGGAAGAAAAGGAAGAATCTATCCATTTCTAGGCAAGAATCCATCTGTTTCTGGTTAGATGTATGCTTCTACAACAAGGCTCAAGAGCAGAAGCCTAAGGGGAACTGAAAAGAAAGAGCTCATATAAAATCAAACTGAGGAATCCTTGGTTTACCTTTGTCTTTCTCAAGTCTATTGAGCTGGATGCCCAGGATGGGAAGGGTTTGTTCAACAAAAGGCCTCATGTGTCCTTGAGAATCAAATTGTCAAAGCTTCCTGAGTTTTTGAGTATAAAGGAGGCCATATTTAAAATAAAACTCCAAACTACAATGCCTCTAGAGCCCAACTTCCAAATTATCAGGATATCGGCTCCCTTTAGAGTTTCCCTCCCTTCTCTACTCTGAAACAGTCCCCAGGGGAGGTGCTGTCACTCACATGTGCCTGAAAAAACTGAACTACTCCTGCCTCTGCTTCAGATGTTCCACACCCTGATGTTCTGGGACACTGATCTCTCTCCAGCCAGTGCAACCTTCGCCATTGCCTGGGGATCTGGCAGAAAGGGGCATTGCCCTCTCTTCATCAGGATGTCGCAAACGCAGGCCCTTCCCATCAAAGTCTCCTTACAGCACAGCTAAGCCCAGGGTTATATAACAATATTAGAAAGGAAGAATAATCCAGAGTAACCTGCAGCTATAATATGGCTACTCTCAAAGCCCTTATGGACTAGAAACAGGCCTGCCTTACTGTTGAGCTTTCAGCCTGGGCCCATGTGGCTGAAGACAGCTTCCCCTCTCCATCAAGAGTTCCCTTGACCGTGTCTTTAGCATCCGGGCCCAACCATTGTGAAGCTCAGAGAAGAAAACCACTGTCCTCACCCAGTTTAAGGTCCACTTTCAAAGCCCTATTTTCTGTCCCAGGTGCTGCCTCTCCCTAGGTCAACTGACTATCGGAATATTTACTCCTTTAGAGGAAACCCCACCCTCCATCCTCAGCGGTGTGACCTTGACCTCTGACCAATCTGGGCCATCACCTTAGAACATAACAGTCCCACATCAGCACATTTCTCACAAAGATTGACTTATTCAGTCTTTACATGTAGGTCCAGGTAGAGCCTCACCAAAGCCAGTAAGCAGTAAGGATCACACCTGTCTTTGCTTGCGTGTATCCTTTAGATCTCAGCTTCTGTTCTCCTAAGAGCAAGGGCTCAAACAAGGACACTCACATCTCCACGGAAACAACAATATACTGACACATATATGGTCTAAATCTACAGAGAGAAAAGAAACAGTTCTGTTCTCTTCTGCATCAATGTCTGCAGAAGCAAGGCTCCTGCCCCACACACAAAGATTTGCATATCCAAATGGAGCATTCTGTTTCTCAGTCTAAAGCATCTACATTCAGGTTAATGGTTACTTTACAGTTTTTTAAGATTAATAAATGTATACTTGCTTTAATATGAGTAGTTAAACAATTCACATAGTTCTCCCAGAGCAGTCTACCTCTGAAGAAATGTTCAAGTCTTCTATTTTTATCTGGCCAGAAAACCACCTACGGTTTAAGAGACAGATTTTCTACCTCCCACCAACCCTTAGGATTTTCAGTTTAGCCCCCGTTACACTTAGAAGTATTTTTTACATGGAAATATAAGTGTATCTGCTTTTTTTATTCCAAACTGCAAACGTTTATTGAGCATTTACTATTGTCAGGCACATACTCTGTGATAGCTTTCTAGAATACATAAGACACAGCCCAGAGAATATGGGAAAAGGAAATCTACAAGAAGTTCACAATCTGGGAGAGAGTATTAGATGTATGCACAATAGCTATAATACAATACATGGAGCATGAGCAAAGTACTGCAGGAGAACAACAAATGGTACAATTATTTAAGCATGAGAGACAGCAAATCCTTATAGAGGAAGTATTTGAGTTGGGCCCTAAGGAATGGAGTAGTATCATGACGGGTGCAGACAGCAGGAGAAGAGAAGGATAAGGGATGAGAAGTGACATTTTAAGTAGAGGAAACAGCATGAGCAAAGACATAGAAGCACAAATGTGTATACCATGTTCCAGAAATTGCAAATACCCTAGATGGAGAGCATGTGGAGTGCATTGGCTGGGAAGAGAGGGGCCGAGGTCAGATCTTATAGGACCTTCAATGCTATGCTTAGGAATTTGGACTCTGTTGTATAGACAGTAGGGGGGCACTGAACGTTTTTAAGCAGAGAAGTGACAGGATTAGATCTGTGTTTGGAAATGATCATTTTGATAGCAGTGTGAATGACTAAATTAGAGCAAGGGGAGACTATTTAATGGGGGAAAAATGCATTCTGAAAACAATAGAATGTCTTCAATGAGGCATCAGAAGCATTTATAATAGGTCTCTCAGATGTGGGTGACAGGCTTTATTATATTCTCCAATTACGGTTCATTTTCCTTATATTTCCCACTAGTCTTCAGCCATTGTTCTAGCAACAAAATGTATATGAAACAAAGCAAATTAATTCATTTATTCAAAAAAAATTTATTGACGGTCTACTCTGTGCAAGTCCCTAGGCCAGGTGCTGAGAGAATTCAAAGATGAATAAAACATATTCCCAATCCTCATAGAATTTGCAGTCCCATGCAATCTACAAAATTACTTCAAGAACATTTATTAAGTATTCAGTTTATGTAGATTAATATTCAATGCACATTGGTAATAAAAAAAAAGGTATAAAGCAGAAAGGCAGCAAAGATATGAGAAATAGCCCAAAGAATATGAACACAGAAAATATAT